AAGTTAGTTTAGTGGTTTATTAAACACACTGGCTACAGTTTAGTGTTTTTTGTCAAGTCGCTTCTTGACCAGAGATTTGGCTTTCTGTCCAAGTACTGTATAAGTACAGTTTGCACTGCAGCTTGTATTATTTAGACGGGCACCTCAGACTACAGAACAGAAATATTAACATTTTTTAACTGACAACTGTCGTCAGTGAAGGAAGCCTCTCTTCTATCATCCAACATACTGTATGTACATCATTGCTTAGTTCTGAATGAGTCAGTATTGTTCCTAACCATGAGCTGTGCCGGTACCACAAGGGGCAAAGAAAAAAGGAAAAACAAAAACAAAAATAAACAAACAGTGAAAATGTCCACTCAAAATAACACCAAGAGGTGGTGAAAGAGATGCAACTCAACAGGTAACTCTTATTTACTCCTAATGTGTTTGCTTAAAATCATATTTCTGAGGTTCTGGTGATGCTTGATATGTTCTACCTTACTTGTATGTGCACCAACAGCAGTGTGTGTGTCTGTGCATGTGTTCATGTGTGTGTGTGCTCAAGTTCTGGAGGAAGTCTAAAGCTCTGCTTCCCATGCGTGTAATCATCCCAGGATGAGGTGGAGCGGGACTTCCCCTGCACCAGAGGGTATTTTCCTCTCACTGTGGTACTCGCACATGGCTGACCCAGTCTGTTGGTGTGTCAGAAAGACAGGAAGACATGCACTAATATGGAAATGAGGAATGCAATTAAAACATGACCAGTTCAGATTGGACAGATTATTACTGAGGTGACTGATTGGCACCCAGAGAGTGACAACGACAGTGAGACAAGTTTAGGAGGACAATGACTTGGTTAAAAGACAAAGAAAAGAATTGCAATCCTCTCACACACACACACACACACACACACACGTGAGTGCACATGCAACACCCCCCCCCCCACGTCAGCTGTTTAGAGGTAAACACGACACTTGTGACTCTCAGTAAAGGCTGCAGACAGTTATGATGCAGGGAATGTAACGACAGTGTGTGTTTGATGGTATGTGTTTCTGTGATGTTGGGTGACACAGCTGATCACAAAGCAGTGAGATAAGACCAACAAACTGCTCTATCATCTATTCTTAGCTCCTGGGCTTCAGGACCTCGTGCTGCTGAAAGCCGTTTGATCCAAACCTAGCCTCGCTTCATCATCAGAACATCAAGCAGACGATACTGAGATGATGTCAGACTGTAACCAACCATAGCTAATGACAAGATACACATTCAAATAACGTAGTGACTTAAGAGCATCACATCAGTTAGTGGAGTGCACAGAGATCATGTTCCTCTTACTTTGTCTCCCAGTCAGGATCTAAGGGAAAACTGGTATAGTATCCTGACCAGCTGGTTCTAGAAAACAACAGACAAATAAAAGTATAAATATGTGCATAAGCATGTGTGCGAACACATTTGTTGCTTAGCTCAGGGTCTACAAAATGACTCAGAATCCTACACAATGCTTGCAAACATTACCCACGCTTCTGGCTCGCCCCTCCACTGCTCAGAAACTCGAAAGCCCCAACAAAACAAATTCATTAGCTGACAATAAAACACAGCTGTGAGGGGTGATGGGAAATGTTTGAAATTAGTGTATGGGTTGAAAGAGAATCTGTTCAAGACAAACAGAGTGTGGAAAAAGGGACTAAGGGGTCTGCTAATAGGGGAAAGTAGTAGTGCTTCCCTTCAGCTTGTTTTGAGGACCGTGCTGAATGGAAGTGCACAACAAAAACAGTTTGTTTCCATCAGATGCAGGAGTCCCTGGACATCCAACTTTTTTCAGGTCATCTGGACAGTTTCTTTTTTTGTGCTGAAACGTTTCACCTTTGGTCCGGAAGGCTTCATCAGTCAAGGAAACACACAACAAAACTGATTCTTCCCCCAACAGCTTCCTCCAAAGTGGAACAAACCATATACCTGGATTATTGAGCATGGACTTTGTTAGTCCCTGGACATGTTTAAATATTTTGCACAGGTTGTCTGAAGGAAGCACAAACACACCTGTCAGTCTGTATAATTAAACTCAGTAAGGATGTTGGAACAGAACACAGATTATATTAGATGCGATAAGATAAATAAAAGGTAAGATAGATAAATAAATAAAGAACTTGTGGCGAAATTATATCATGATCATTCTAGAAACCATGAGAAACACAGCCTCTACAACTTGTCAGCTGTGGGTTGATGGGCTAACCAGTACAGTCTCATACCCCACTCATCAACATGCATAGTACCGACATCATCTGCTCCTAATGTGTTCTACATTTTAGCAGGGGAAGATTAGCTGGTCACTGCCTACTCACTACAAGAGCAAGGATCTGAAAAGTTTCACATTATTGTTGCAACATTTACCACTAGAGGGCTCTACAGCTTATAAGATGCACTCCTACAAACCAGAGCACATCACACTCAATTAGACTTACTACATGCAAATAGTATTAAGCAGAATTTCCAAAATGCCAAAGCCAGGGCACAATTATTTAGAGAAACCTTCCCAATGTCTGTTTAATAGCATTGCTGAAAATACACCAGTCAGGCACGACATTCTGACCACTGATGGGTAAAAAGAGAAAGCTGCTTGTTGTTGCAGCACAGAAAATAAAGACATTCTCACATTTGACATCATTTTCCCCAAAAGGGCCCTCCCTATATTTTATCTGCTTTATAAACGCATTCAAACAACATATCTCATGAGACCTGTCGGAGGGTAGTGGGGTGAGTGACTGAGCGCTCGACATGGCACATAGTACGGTCCTTATGTTGTATGTCACTACGTACGGCCAGGTGTCGAGACGCAATGTCATGGTGACATCACTACTTTAAAAAAAAACTGAATGATTCTTGGAAATGAATGCATCTTCAAGATTTGGTTCCCTTCAAAGAGCCACATGTCCCATTTCTAAACTCCATCTATGTCGAGAGTCTGTCCTATAGAGAGTGGAGCCAACGATCCACAGGAGCCTGAAGATCAGCTGCTGACAACTAAAGACTCAAGGACCATATGTTTAGACATTTGTTTATGTCTTGATCTGTCAGAGCTCGTTTGGTAGCATTAGAAAGATCTACTCAATTTTAGTTTGCTGATATTATTCTATGGCTTATAAAATAATTTTACACTACTATAAAAAGCAAGTGTAAAGAAAAGTATATGTCCAATGCAACAAAATAAACTTTTACAGTAAAACAAACAAACAAAAAAAAAAGTATATATATATATATATATATATATATATATATATATATATATATATACACGCACACACACGCACGCACACATTTCTTTGTTTTATTTTACATGACTCAAACCCACCGTGGAGCATGTAGATCTGTTAACCAACAGTCAGTTATTTTGTCATTTTATCTGTCTCTTTTATTATGAGTCTATTTGGGGAGCACAATAGATTACTGGTTAGCACAGTTGCCTGGGTCCTGGGTTCAGTCCCTGGTTGGACCTGGGCTCTTTCTGTGTGGAGTTTGCTTGTTCTCCTCGTGTTTGCGTGGGTTTTCTCCGGATACTCCGGTTTCCTCCCACTGTCCAAAAACATGCATGTTAGGCTGCCTTCAGGCCCAGGCCTCCCTTGCAGAAAGATCTGTGGCCTCTATGGGATTTGCCTGGTGAAATAAAGGTTAATAAAATAAAAATAATTTCACTGCATCCTTTGTTCATTCATTTGTTTGCCTTTTTTTCCTAGGAAGCCTTCAGCATGTTTCAGAAGCTTTCAGAGGGTCTGAGTCATCGGAAGCACTTAAGTAAACATTTCCTCTTTTAAAGAATCTCAAAATGAAACAACATTAAAGTCACTTTGGTAATTTATTATATTTGAACTCATCCCCCTCCTTAACTCTCCTGGCCCCCTTTGCTAGAAGTCCCATCTTCACCATTGCTGGTAAATATTTTTATATTGTTCCATTAGAAGGTTTTATGAAGCAGTCAGACGAGGCAAACGGCGCCTGAGCGCTCGTTGTCTTGTAAACAATGGGAAGGGCCCTGAAAGCTGCATCTGAGCCGAGCACACTGAATTAATGCCACATAACAGAGCTGCGACGCTCTGAACGAATAAATATTTAATTGTGCTGATTTCATACATAACAGTTAGGGGTGATAACTGGGGACACTGCAACAGAAGAATCATCATGATAGATTTAGGAAAACATGTGCCTATGCTCATAATAACATGTCAAATTATGTTCTTTTAAATGCGTGTAAACAAACCCTGTAAACAAAAATGAGATGATCCAGTCAGTGCGTTCCGTTACCATACGAGTAGAAAACAGAAAAACTCACATCCTTACTGTTTGATTGAAAGGACCTAAATACTTCAACAGAACATACAAATCTGTGTGTTCATAAACCATCCATCAATCATCTTTACCCACTTCTTCCTTTTCGGATCACAGGGGTCACTGGTGTCCATGTCCAGCTATCACTGTGTGAGAGGTAGGGGACACCCTGGACAGGTCTCCAGTCCATCACAGAGACACAGACAGACAAACGAGACAAAAACATTCACTCTCTCACTCACACCTACAGATGATTTAGAGTTACCAATCAGTCTAACATGCATGTCTTTGGTCTGTGAAAGGAAACTGCACGCACGGAGAGAACATGCAAACTCCACCCAGAAAGGTTCTGGGCAGGGATTTGAACTGGCAACCTCCTCGCTGAGAGGCAACAGATGTACCAACTGAGTCACTGTGCTGCTGTGTTCATAAACATCAAGCTTAAATGGAGTAGCCTTAAAATTAAGTTTTTCTTTTACGTTATAAGCCTGATGGGCCCCTGTGTACACAATTTCGTTCCACCACATGTTCCACACGTGGTGCGAATGACAAATAAAGAAACTCTGATGTGCAAAAACTAAAGGAAACATGTAAATATGGTTTTTTTTGTTTTGTTTTTTTTCCCTACATATGAGTAAATAGAGTAAAAGTTGAAGTTAATGTCCTCGTGTCTTTATAACTGTGAACAGTGTACGTACCTGGGCACTTTTCTCTGGAGCATTTTGGCCCACCATGTTGTCTCTGAGAAGCTGCTGCAGGAGCTGCACCTGGGCAACACTGAGGTAGAAATCCAGACTGCTGGTCACATTCACCTCCAGAGAGTGGCCACACACCACCACTTCCTAAGGACAAGGGAGGTAGAGCAGGGAGACATTATAAGAGAAGGTGGGAGGAGAGAGACGGAAATTGGTTCAATACATCAGGAAAGTTTTGTAGCCTCACTGTGGACTCCTTTGAACCTTAAAGCCCTGTGTACACATAACAAACCCTTCTCTGTCCAGGTCTATGCTCAGTGTGTTTCTATCTCCTCTCCAGGGTCCCACCCACAGTCAGCAGTGTAAATCTCAGCAAGGAGGTTACATCTGATAGGATATTACTCATAGACAATGAAGACTGAGGCACACACATGAAGCAGAGCTACAATCAGTCCACACAGGGTACTGCTCAGACCATCTACCCAACTCCTCTGTTTAAGAACATACACCGTTTAGGTTAGTTTCATATAGTAGCATGCACTTTTATGTGTTGAACTCTACAAAACATGCTAAATATGACAGAAAATAATTAAAAATAATTTTGCTATATTTTTCTTCTCCTCCACATTAACTAGTTCAAAGGCCAGTTTTGTTTATGTTGTTACTGGCTCCAAGTCTTTAAATCAAAGAGGATTACACAAATCACTGTGTGCATGTGTGTGTGTGTGTATGCATGTGTCAGTACAAACTATGGATTAGCCGTTACACATTGTCAAGGGGCGCATTAGCGTGGTCGGACAAGGCATCAAAGAGGCAGGAAGTCTCAGAGAGTCATGCCAAAAAACATCAGCTGTATAAGCAGAAAGGTTTGAACTCTTGAGGTCAAAAGCCTCCATTACATGGTGGACTGGCTGAGGGACTTTTAATGAGCATGTTACTGTATGTTAAGAGCAAAACAAATATTTTCCATATATCACATATTCCATGTCTGTTTTCATATGAACAACAGATCCTAAGAGCAAGGGTTGCAGTCGTGGCTGTAACTGGTCAAAGAGCAAAAGAACTTAGTTTAGCAGTGCACAAACATGAATGAAGTGCATCAATTGATAAAATTTTCTCGACGAGAAGACGTCGAAGGAGAGCCCTCTTGCCCTGACGGGACACTTACAGCTGGATACACGATACATTGCTGGGGGCAGTGGAAGATTGTGTGTCTGTCCATATTGTCCGTTGAGGATGTAGAAGCAGCGTACGTAATTGGATTTATGATAACAGGATTTCTGCTTTTTGGAGTTGGCGGTTACCTGGAATATCGACAAATACGGAAAACGTAGGCAGCTGTTCTGGCCATTGTAAGGCTGCCCGACTTGAGTGAAGGAATGTGCCAAGTGATGACTACTCAACCCAGATGCTGTGTGAGCTGAAAGCTGGACGCAATTTCTGAGAATCGCAGGCCACTTGCAGCTCCTGAAACTCACTGGCGGGAAAAAAATCGACCTTGGAGAAGCTACAAGCTCGGCCTGGCAGTGCTGACCACAAAATTCGGCTGTTTGAAGTTGCCATTGAGATATACCAGTAAAACTATCAGGCAGACAGAAATCAAGCAGTCAATCTGACCTAAAATAACATCTGAATCTGGCTCCCCCATGTCGGCCTTGAATTGGCCAACTATCTCAAACTCACCTGGATGTTATGTGAACAAGAAGCTCTGCTCTCTGCTCTCCCCGCTCCCATCCTGAGGACATATGTGGACCTGTATCAGAGCTGAGCCGGCTGATACACACTGCACCATCTTTTATTAAGACTATGGGGACTATCTGGCAGTGTCCACGGACAAACTCACCACCTTCATTGGCCTTCCTCATGCATATGTATTATGTCATCAGCATGTTGCTGTTTCTGTGCTGAGGTTTTATTTTTTTGCAACATTCACTGTGTCCCGTCTAGGACACAGTGTGAGATATGATTTTTTTTAATACCACCCCTTCCCCCGTGTTTCTCTTTTCTTATCTAATGAAAATGGCAGCGCCTCCCATGAGGCCGTGGCCTCAGACACTCCGTCTTCCCATGCCTGTTGTTTATGTTTTACTCGGACGGGCTGTACTGAAATGTAATTTTGTTGTGCTTCGGTGCAATGACATTAAAGCTGATTCTGATCAATGCAAATAGGAAACACGCTAGTGGAAAAAAAAAAAAAAACTGTTCAAGAAATAAATTATATATCCAAAAGTTTGTTACGTTTTGTGGTGTTCAAATAAGCAAACTGTAGACAATGTGAACTGGTTTGTGCATTGCCATATCTGACCTCGGTCTGTCCACCGTCTGGAGACAGATTCTTGCTGAAGATGATGGCCGGGGCAGCAGTCACCCGGACGGAGAAGTCTGTGAGGATCGGTGTGAGAATGGCTCGACGCTCCTGGTGGCGCCTGATACTGTAAAAACATACGAGTAGACAACACCTCGTCAGGAAGTTTCCACAAGTGTACAAACAGTTTATGCATACCTACTAATTCATAAATAAAAAAAAGAGGGATATACTTATATCGAACGGTATAATCGACCGACAGGGAACAGTTGTTCTCTCCATTTTTTACTAATAACTTGTTATGGACACCAGTTGTAAGATTGTCCCAAATTACAGAAATGACAAGACAACAAAAATAACCACAATATGTTTACAAATGAGCTATTATTGTGCCCTTAGCTGAAATGTAGACTATCTTTCTATATGTCTACAAATCGCTGAACAGTCCCCCCCCCCCCCCCCAAAAAAAAAAAAACTCTCTGATCTGCTACAACCGTATGTCCCACCACGTTCCCTGAGGTCAGCGGACCAATTGCTCCTCACAGTTCCAGGAACTCGTCTTAAGCGCAGAGGTGACAGGGCCTTCTCTGTAGCAGGACCAAGACTTTGGAACGAGTTACCGCAGCTTGTCAGACAGGCCCCCTCCCTCTCAGTTTTCAAATCCCATTTAAAAACTCACTACTTTTCAGTAGCTTTCAAAACCAGAGGCTCTGTGTTTTGAACCTGGACGCTCCACACTGTTTAGTCATCATATTTATTATCTGCATCATTTTTATGTCTATATTTTTGATTTACTTCATTTTGTACATTGCTTCGTGTGTTGTCTGTTGTTCTGTCTGTACTGCACTTTAGTTGGCCTTGTCGCTGTTTTAAGTGCTCTATAAATAAAATGGTATGGTATCTTTCAAAATAGTTTTGGCTCCTTTAAAATTTAATATCAGTCAAAAACATCAACAAAAAAAAGGATTTCAGAACCGATTTCCTCTTGAGGGCTTGACATGTGACAAAATTCCACAATTGAGCTTTATTGTATTTTTTATATTTTTTTGGACAGAAATATTTTAGCTGGAGCTTGAACGAGGTTAAAGACAGACGTTATTTGACAGGTCTCAAGAGGGAACAACCCTTAATTGTATACACGAGCTCAAGCTGAGAATGTCTCGTATCAATCCTCTACGTTTCACTAATGTTCATTCCCACAATCAGGTCAATTTTGTGGAAACATTTGTTAGCAGTAAAACATATACACAGAGAGCTTTATAAGGTGGTGTTAATTGCCACATCTGCTGTTATTAAAACAATCAAGTGGTACAGCTTCTAATATTTATAGTTAGACAGGATTACAAGAGGCCTAGATTCTAGGTGGCCTCGAGTACAGTACTTAACCAGAACCAATATCACATTCACTCCTGCTACACAAATGTGCATTACCAGAGCCCTTAAGGGATTATTTGCTGACACATTTTTTGTTGCATACAAAGTTTGAGAGGGAACTAATTCAGAAGTGAAATGATCTGTGAGGCCAATTGGTGTTGGCTAATCTCCTCTCAGACAGGGATTGAAACAATGAGTGTCTCGTTGCAGAGGACAGGTGCTATCAGTCACCAGCTAAACTTGGAGGCGTGAGGCTCAATTTACCAGCATTGTAAAAGCCTTTGACTGGGTTTGAGAGCTTGTGCGTCTGAGTGCATGTTTGCGTGGGTGCAATTTTGCTGCACATGCAGCGAGAATGGAAGGAGTGACTTCTCTTACATGGGATGTAACGTGGTGTAATCAGTAAGTTGACATATGAATGGCAGGAACAAAAAGAGAGGCCTGCGCTGGGTGGTTCACAGCTCTCTGACACGAGGTCTTTCCCTAGCAGGCAACTATAAACTGTGACGAGGACAGATCCTGTCAGCCGATCCGTAGTGCTGGAATTTCCTCACAAAACCTCAGGAAGCAAACTGAGGCCACTGCAGATCCACAACTACTGAAGTTGAACCCCAAAGGCATCAGTGAACACGCTGCAAGTTTAAAGTTGAGCAGAGTGGAGCGTATCAACGTATGGAAAAAAGGAAAAGGTGTGAACTCTGGAAGTGGTGTGTGTCAAAACTTGTTAAAACCGAGGCGGCACATTTCTTCAAGTGATTTTAGTAGACAAGGAAAGCTGAGAATTTGACTCCCTTTTCTCACAGTGTTGGAGCACTAAATCATCACATGTTCAGTAATGACTTGTTGTTGGTGGAGAAGGCTGGAGAGCAGCATGCTGTGGAGCAGGGCAGCGCAGTTTCCAACTGTGGGTCTCACTGCTCACCACAGCAGGACGGACAGGGAAAGAGAAGGTTACCACAGGCACATTGAAGAGTTTGTTTGGAAGTTAAACTAAAAGAATTAGAGGACAATTAAAAAAAATTAACAACAAAAACAAACATGAGAATACTGCCACAGGTTAAATATTAAACTGGACAGTTTTGAACAGTCTGTAGATTTTTAACACGATTAAAGAGAAGTAAAAAAACTAAAGTTTATACTGAAATGTGACCATATTTAAAGTGATAAAAATCTAATTTAGCAACAGCTAGATCAAACATTTACAGGCTCTAAAAATAAATCCAGACCTGTTAAACTTTAAAGACAACAATAACTATTCAAATGTCCAAAAGAACACTGAAATTACATTAAGCACAACATTTATTCTCATTCCCCGTTAGACTATTTGGACTTGGCATCAGGGACATACAGCATTTTTTACAATTACAGATTGACATTTTAAGTACAAATGGGAAAAAAACAAAAAAAATATATACAGGAAGAGCTGTTTAGAAGCCATTTATATACAATATTTATTTCTTAGAAGAGAAAAAAAATAATCAAACCAGGACATAATACATTTATGAAAAACAACAATTTTAAATGACAGAATTTATTAAAATGTTGCATTACTTGAATAAAAGCACATTGTCTGCCGCCTTATATGTAAATGTTTTCAAAGACCTTGTTCGATTTGTTAGTGGTCAAAGTTCATGTTGAGGATGAGACTCCGCTACTACTGCACCAGTTTTTAGCTCAGTACCTGTGAAGATGTGACAGATCTGAAACTATTACGAGACAAAATTTGTTATACAATTTGTGAATGTTCAAATTCCAAGTGACGAGGCTGTGGGCCTTTGTGCCTCACATGAGGAAATAGAGAACCTTTGTGAAAATTAGGACATTTTATAGACTCCTTCATGAATGTTGTTCATCAACAAGACTACAGCAGTGGCTGTCCAGTAAGATACTGGTTTAAGGCTCCGCTTGTTCTCCTTTATTAGGAAGCCTCATCTTAACTAGATCTATCAATGGGACTGGTTGGTCAAATAAATAAACCTATAGCCTGGCGATTAGCAAATACAGATTTTCAGTCAATCCATTGATGAAGTAAAAACACTTTTTTACAAGTAAATAAAATAACCTAAAATAAAAACTACACGATGAGATATCAAAGTTCATGACTCATGGGGTGGCTGTGGCTGAGCGGTTGGAGCAGTCGTCCTCTAATGCAAGAGTTGGAGGTTCCATTCCACCAGCAGTCACATGGTGAAGGGTCCCTGGGTAAGACACTGAATCCCTCATTGCCTCTGATGTGTGTCCCATCAGTGTATGAATGTGATAAAGCTCAGATTAGTCTCTTTAGAATGATTTGTTCCATTAGATTTGTAGATCTATTAAGAGTGCTGTGTGAATGGGTAAATGAGGCACAGATTGTTGTGTAAAGAGCTTTGAGTGTCTTGAGAAGATAGAAAGGAGTTCAGTCCACTTACCATGATAGATAATTCATGCATACAAATCCATCAAAGTTAAGTCAGATCCTCTGGATGGTTTCTTTTGTTGAAACATTTCATATTTCATCCAAAGGACTTCATCAGTCCGAGGAGCCACAACAAACTCACTCTTATAAATAGCACCTTACAGAGTAGGTGAACCAGTTTGATGGTGCTCAGATGGTTTCTGGAGTCCACCCTCTCATGTAATGGAGCACCCACTATGTGATGGTGTTATGTACAAGACTGAGTTTGTTGTGGCTCCTCAGACTGATGAAGTCCTTTGGATGAAAGATAAAACGTTTCAACAAAAAAAAAAACGTCCAGAGGACCTGTTGGACTACATGTTGACAGTTTTGCTGAATATATTAAATACAGTAACTGTGAAAAAGTGTTAGTCTTTTACCTTCTGGTATTCTGAGTGAAACAATAAGAAAAAAAAAGAGGCAAGGAAGTGTGGAGGAGACAGAATGAAATCATGATGTTCTATCAACGTGATGTGCTGGGCTACTTGACTACAAGGTCACGCCACATCAGTGACATGAAGTGGTTTGGATTCTGTAACAACAGAGAAGTAATGTCGCTCCACACTGGTAACACTGGGTGGGCTTCCCACATATGTTTGGGGACATATTCACATTTCTGGCTCAGGCTTCAATGGAATTAAATTAAAATATTACTTTCCAAACAAAACAAAAATACAATAAATTTTCAAAATAGTAAAATATTTACATTACATTGATGCTTCCTCTTTTACCCTTTTTACTGAACCTTTATTTAATAGATCACAGACCATATGTTCAAGGGAGGGGGTAGTCTAAACAGACATGCTTTTTTTGACTGTGGGAGGAAACCGAAGGACCCAGAGAAAACCCACATAAACCCATGGAGAGAACATGCAAACTCCACACAGAAAGACCCCGTGCACAACCTGGGGATTGAACCCAGGACCTTCTGGCTGTGAGGCAACAGTGGTAACCACTAAGCCAACATGTTATCCATCAGTGAAAGGAAACCTCGCCACGTACACAGTCACCACCTGAGTGTTTCTATCATCTATTTCAAAGCAACCAGCTTGAAATTTCAACATTAACAATAAAAATAAAGCAAAAAAAAAAAAAAGCCACTTGCAAACATTTGTTCTGTCAGAAAAATAAACTTGCTTGAGTGGGGAAAGAGTTTTTTGTCTTCTTGACTATGAAGACGGGAAGTAGTGACTTCTAAGTAGTGAACTTTGTCTTGACTTTTAAGTGCTTTGTGGGCATTGTTTGCATTTAAAGAGAACGTTTACAGTAGCAAGAGCTCATTCAGGAAGAAGAAACTTAATAAAAGGGTCTCCAGTAAATAAATCTTGACTGACTGCCACAATAAAAGTCTTACTGCAGGTCTAAGAGCTGAGGGCTCAGGCATCAGTATCACCAGCAACAGTCTGCTCTTTCCTGGCAAAACTCCAAGCACGGCAACATATTGCGTGTGTGTGCGTGTTTGTGTGCATGTGTGCGAAGAGTATCTAAATTTTAAAGAAGAGAAAGGACAGATGTCCAGAATAGGTTTGTATGAGGGTTACTGGGAACCTTTTGACTGCATCTGTTTGTGTGAGAACGGTGTATCTCAGTGGGTGTCACTTAAAAGTCCCAATGACCTGGGAGCAGTCTCAATCAGCGCTGTGTTGATTTAGCAACAAATTCTTCCATGAGGCCTATTTTTAGTGGACACAGAACAAAACAGCAGCCTTTGCCCATAATTCTGTGATTTTTGGGCCCGTTCCCTCTCAATGCATAAGCGGAAAAAGAGGATGTGAGGCCAAACAGGCTGTTACTTTTGTGCTTGTTTAGGCTACTGACAAGAAAAAAAATGTCAGGATTTTAGTTATGACTGTGAATGAAGAGGCTACATGATACGATGCTAACTCAATGGCCATGTGCTGACCCGAAGGTATATAAACACTATAAAACAATATGAAACAACAATAAAATCTGACAATGTCAAGATTAAAGAAATACTGGAGCCAGTGTAAAACTGCTATAAATCCAGACAGTATTTGCTAAGATAATTTGTCAGGAACAGAGAGTGGAAAAAAAAAAAGAAAAATAATAAAAACTGCTCATTGTGCTAACTCTAGAGCCAGCAGGGCAATGTGCTTTAAAAATCACAAGACACTGTTTCTAATGAGTGTAACACAGATAAAAAATTAAAAAAAATAAAAACCTTGAGGATAATGGTGCTGAAAAAGAAGATTGCGCAAATGGTGTGCTAGGATTGACTTACAACCTACAAAACAACAAAGTAGTATTTTCTACTAACAGCAAGCAGAAGACTGAAGAACCTGCTGACCTGCTAGCCATGTTCCACTCTAGGGCAGGATTCTGGGAGCTCCTCTCATTCTCTGCTGTCACACCTCCTTTGACCCCCTCCTTCTCTGGCTTGAGTTGCTCCCACTGAGCAGTCCCGATGTTGAGGGACTGAAGGTCGATTTGATACTGACGATCTTCCACCTCTGAGCCTGGGTCACGCAGAATGCCGAGGTTCATCGCACGTCTACAGAGAGAAGAGATAAAAGATGACTTGATTTACAGATAAACAAGTTTAGGTTTTAGCACTGCAGTAAGCTCACATCCATCCATCCATCCATCCATCCATCCATCCATCCATCCATCATCTTCCACTTATTCCGAAGTCTGGTTGCGGGCACAGCAGCTTGAGCAGGGAGGCCCAGACACCTCTTTTCACAGCCACCTCTTCCAGCTCTTCCCTGAAGCGTTCCCAGGCCATCAGAGAGACATAGTCTCTTCAGTGTGTCGCGGGTCTTCCCTGTGATCTTCTCCCACTCGGACATCCCCAAAGCACCTCCACTGGGAGACACCCAGGGAGCATCCTTACCAGATGACTGAACCACCTCAACTGGCTCCTCTCGATGTGGAGGAGCAGTGGTTCTACTCTGAGTCTCTCTCGGATAACTGAACTTTTCATCCTATCTTTAAGGGAGAGTTCAGCTACCTTGCGGAGGAAACTCATTTCAACCATCTGTATCCACGATCTCTTTCTTTGGTCACCACTACCACAGCTCATGACCATAGGTGAGGGTAGGAATGTAGACTGAGCAATAAACAGAGAGCTTTGCCTTACAGCTCAGCTCCCTCTTCACCACAACGGACCGGCACAGAGTCCGCAATACTGCAGATGCTGCACCAATCCATCTGTCAATCTCACGCTCCATTCTTCCGTCGCTCATGAACAAAACCCCAAGATACTTGAATGCCTCCACTTGACCACTTGACTTGACTTCACCTCACCCTCGACCCGGAGAGAGCAATCCACACTTTTCTGACTGAGGACCATGACCTCAGATATGGAGGTGCCGATTCTCATCCCAGCCACTTCACACTCGGGTGTGAATCGCTCCAGTAAGAGCTGGAGATCATGGCACGATGACACTAACAGGACCACATCATCTGCAAAGAGCAGAGATGGAATCCTGAGGCCACAGAACCGGAAGCTCACGATGCAATTTTTTTTTTTTTTATGTAAAAAAAAATATAGAAAGGAAATGCATAAAAATTTGTTTAGTTTAAGTTGCACTTCATATGTTGGACAGAAGTGCAAAAAAATACCTTACAAAAGCAGCTACCTCTTTTTAGGTAAACAATGTCCATGCAGAAATAGGTTTTATGACTAACACTATGTATTTATACTTTGATCTAGGAGTACTCCAGCTATTCTGTTAAAGTGAAACCATAAATATTTTCTGGCACCAGGTACTACCTACTACTTTCCCCTTCTTTAGTCATTTCAGTGTTTTAGTAGCTTGTGTGTCTTACAGGGGATTTACAACTTTATCAAAGCTTCTGGTAAATGTACAACAAGCCTCAGATAAATAACCCCCACATGTCACAGGTGAAATCATTTGTTTATTTTTATAAAGTCCTGCATTATGCCATCTTATCATTGGCAGCAATCGTTGCTTAAAGCCTGGACAGCACAGAAGTCTGGAGGCCATTGCTTTAATTGCCTTTTGCTTTCTATTTCTATCTACAAAAACACAGAGCTTTTACAGTATACACAAACTGTAACAGGCTGGAGGAGATGTAGCGATATGTCAGGACTGGGCAGCGCTCCGTCTGTAGTCAAAGGAGCAAACAGCATTTCTCCAGTGCCAAGGAAAAATGATGTAATCTATTTTGCCTTTGAGAGACAAGATTCTGACGAATTCATGAGGCAAAAGGAATAATCAAAATTCAACATCTGCATATGACATCAGGGCTTTGGGTTCATTATGAAATGTTTATTTGTGCTGGTGAATTCAAATGAGAGCTTAAATGGTATAAATGAAGGCTTAAAATGACTGCAGATGTAGCAGCAGCATGAGTAGTCTTATTTGTTTCGGCCATGTCAGTGGCAATTTTCAGATAGCATTTCCCTTTTCTCGCCACACTGAGAAGGTCTCTACCAGAGCAAGATGTTATGACAGTAAGCACCAAGTACAAAAACAATGGCAACTGGAGATCAGAGGTGCATAATAGGATTTAGCTAGATTTGTTGACATACAAACAAGTGAAACAGATCCTTAATCAACATTTGGAACCACATTTATCAACAAAGCATAAATCAAACTAAGAGCTCAGTAAGATTTGGGTGGGATGTGTCAGTTTAGATTCATTAGGGTTTATGTAGCAGTACCTCTACCATCCTCCTTAAGCCTACGATGTGTAACACATCGTTACCTCATACGCTTTTCCAAATTATCTCTTCGCTTTAGCATATTTAGTAGACTCTCTTTCTCATAATCAACATAATATAGGAATCTGCAGCCAAGTCTATGCAATGCTGAACTGCAGGCTCATCTCCAGTGACATAAATAAATACGATAAACATTTGTCTTGGTCATAGAGCCAGTGGAAAACAGTGTGATTTAATATCAAAAGACATATTTCAGCAAATGGCAGGAAACTAGAGAGCTTCATTTCTGACAAATGAGGAGGAGAGGAATTTTGGAAGTCCCCCTTGGGGTGCAATAATAATTGAAGCCAGATTTTCTTGTTGTACATGTGGAGAGAAAACACTGGTGGTTTGACATATTTGATTGGTCATGTGAAGACCACACTGCCTGGCCAAGGCAAATCAGAAAATGCCTTGGAAAAGCACAAAACTCACTATATATGAATACAAACTAAAACAAACAGTGAGGCAGGTGGGACAAACTACTATTAGGAAGGACATATCAGACATCTTCCTGCCATCACTGAAAAAAAAAGTAAAGCTGGAATGAAAATAGTAATGCCTTTCCAGATAAATATGCCAGGGAACAAAGGAATTTACAGGGGGCATAAAGAGCGAGATGGACTTTATTTTCTTTATCACAGATACTCATCCTTGTTCATGAGATAACCATGAATTTATTTGCAGAAACAGACCATGAAAACCAAAAAAAGTCCATGCTCAACAATCCATGTATGCAATCCAACAATTTTCAGTCAAGTCATCTGGACAGTTCTTTTTTTTTCTGAAACGTTTCACCTTCTATCCGGAAGGCTTCATCAGTCAAGGAAACCGACAACACAAAACTGATTCTTCCCAAAACAGCTTATTTCAAAGTGGAACAAACCAGTTATGTTGGTGCTAAGATGGTGTCTTTGGCAGGCCCCCTCCTTTTTTGGTTTTGAACCAGTTTGACATGACTGTCGACCAGGAAGAGGGCTGGCTCCAGAGGAAAGGAGCACTTAGCACCAACATAACTGGTTTGTTCCACTTTGGAGTAAGCTGGTTGGGGGAAGAATCAGTTTTGTGTTGTGCATTTCCTTGACTGATGAAGCCTTCTGGATGGAAGGTGAAACGTTTCAGAAAAAAACAAACAAAAAAAAAACTGTCCAGATGACCTAACTGACAATTGTTGGATTGTATACCTGGATTATTGAGTATGGACTATGTTGGTTTTGAACCAGTTTGACATGTCTGTCAACGAGGAAGAGGGCCAGAGCCAGAGGAGGGGGCGTGCCACAGACACCATCTTAGCACCAACATAACTGGTTTGCTCCACTCTGGAGTAAGCTGGTTGGGGGAAGAATCAGTTTAGTGATGTGCGTTTCCTTGACTGATGAAGCCTTCCGGATGGAAGGTGAAATATTTCAGCAAAAAAATAAATAAACTGTCCAAATAATCTACAGGTCCGTCTCAAAAAATTAGCATATTGTGATAAAGGTCATTATTTTCCATAATGTAATGATAAAAATGAAACTCTCATATATTTCAGATTCATTGCACACCAACTGAAATATTTCAGGTCTTTAATTGTTTTAATACTGATGATTATGGCATACAGCTCATGAAAACCCAAAATGCCTGTCCCAAAAAATTAGCATATCATGAAAAGGTTCTCTAAACAAGCTATTAACCTAACCATCTGAATCAACGACGTAACTCTAAACACCTGCAAAAGATTCCTGAGGCTTTTAAAAACTCCCAGCCTTGTTCATTACTCAAAACCACAATCATGGGTAAGACTGCCGACCTGACTGCTGTCCAGAAGGCCATCGTTGACACCCTCAAGCAAGAGGGTAAGACAAAGAAAGAAATTGCTGAAAGAATAGGCTGTTCCCAGAGTACTGTATCAAGGCACCTCAGTGGGAAGTCTGTGGGAAGGGAAAAGTGTGGCAGAAAACGCTGCACAACGAGAAGAGGTGACCGGACCCTGAGGAGGAATGTGGAGAAGGGCCGATTCCAGACCTTGGGGGACCTGCGGAAGCAGTGGACTGAGTCTGGAGTAGAAACATCCAGAGCCACCGTGCACAGGCATGTGCAGGAAATGGGCTACAGGTGCCACATTCCCCAGGTCAAGCCACTTTTGAACCAGAAACAGCGGCAGAAGCACCTGATCTGGGCCACAGAGAAGCAGCACTGGACTGTTGCTCAGTGGTCCAAAGTACTTTTTTCAGATGAAAGCAAATTTTGCATGTCATTCGGAAATCAAGGTGCCAGAGTCTGGAGGAAGACTGGGGAGAAGGAAATGCCAAAATGCCAGAAGTCCAGTGTGAAGCACCCACAGTCAGTGATGGTCTGGGGTGCCATGTCAGCTGCTGGTGTTGGTCCACTGTGTTTTATCAAGCGCAGGGTCAATGCAGCTAGCTATCAGGAGATTTTGGAGCACTTCATGCTTCCATCAGCTGAAAAGCTTTATGGAGATGAAGACTTCATTTTTCAGCACGACCTGGCACCTGCTCACAGTGCCAAAACCACTGATAAATGGTTTACTGACCATGGTATTACTGTGCTCAATTGGCCTGCCAACTCTCCTGACCTGAAGCCCATAGAGAACCTGTGGGATATTGTGAAGAGAAAGTTGAGAGACGCAAGACCAACACTCTGGATGAGCTTAAGGCCGCTATCGAAGCATCCTGGGCCTCCATAACACCTCAGCAGTGCCACAGGCTGATTGCCTCCATGCCACGCCGCATTGAAGCAGTCATTCATGCAAAAGGATTCCCGACCAAGTATTGAGTGCATAACTGAACATGATTATTTGAAGGTTGGTGTTTTT